AGAAGAGACATGAGCTGGGGAACACAGCAAAATGACCCCACCAGGAGAAGCTGAGGCCTCTTTACCTCTCACACACAAACCCCACAGAGGCCTGGTACAGGTCGATGGCTTCCCCCAGGGACTGAGCTGCTGCCCCAGTCTCAGCCAGCTGACTTGGCAGGTCCTTCACCAAGGCCAGCAATTCTCCTCGCACATTTTCACCCTAGAGAGGGAAGAAGAGGGGAACTGAGACACAAGTGGTGAGAGGCGGAGTCCAAGAGACTGAAGAAAACATCCAAAGGCAGGAGAAAAGTGAGATCCTGGCCCAGAGGAGGCACAACCAGGCTAAGGGATCAGATGGGGTCAGAGGAAGATAGACAGGGGCCCACGTATCCTCTGGCTGCAAAGAGGCCACCACCGCTCACCGTGATGCCATACTGCTTGCAGGAGTGGTAGAACTGCTCCCGCATCTCGGCAGCCCCTGCCTGGCACTCCTCCTCCTTGCGGCTGTATTCCTGCTGCAGCTGCTGGCACTTGGCAATTTGCTTCTTCAGTGAGGGGATCTCATAGTTGACATTCCGAACAAGGAGGCTAGAGAGTTCCACTGAGAAAGGCCCAGGAAATTCAGCCCAGGACACCCTCACATGAGGTAGACATGTCCCAGATGCACACACACCCTTTGTGGTGGTGGTGAGCATGAGGTCAGCTTCCCAGCCTCTCCTGTTACCAGCTGGGAGCCTAAGACAAATTATTTAACCCCTCTAATCCAACCCTGACCTGTAAAACAGTGACAATAACATTTATTGTGAAAATGCAAAAGAGAACCCACATGATACACCAAGCACAATTCCTTGCATTTAGTAGGTGCTCAGTAAATATTATCCATTATTATTATTTATGCTAAACCCAACCCAAACACAAGTTAGGCACTTGATATTGCTCCCAGGAGAGCCTGTGCCTTTTCTGCCTTATGTAGAATGGGGGCGTGGGGGGAGCGGGCTGCACACTCCCCCTTACCAAGAGGTGAGTGGTGGAGGACCCACACACCTGCTTGCTGAGGCATGTCTAATGCCCACTACCGGCCTCCTTCTTCCCCCAGCATTCCACTTAGTGGAAAATCAATCTGCGGGTGGGAAAATCAATTCCATCAAACCAATTGATTTTACCACCTACAAATAGGCAACATCTACACTCCAGCTTCTTCCCACTCACAGACTGTGCCTCCTATAAACCTGGTATCTCAAGACTCTGGGAGTGGGCTTCCCCACAGATACCAGGGCTCCCAGGCTGGGCCACTTTACCTAAATAGGTGTTGTCCTTCTCATACAGGGCTATGATCTCCTGCCAATCCTGAGTAAGAACAGAAAGGATGTTAAGCCAGAAAAGCACTCAACAGCCACATCCCAGCTCAATCCCTAAACAGGGGAAGTTCTCCCAGCTTTCATATCACATTAAACACAAATTCCTTATCCTTCTTTCAACTTATACTGCTGGCTGGACCAACCACTTTAAGAGTGTAGGCGAGCCGGGCGCGGTGGCTCACGCCTGTAATCCCAGCACTTTGGGAGGCCGAGGCGGGTGGATCACGAGGTCAAGAGATCAAGACCATCCTGGTCAACACGGTGAAACCCCGTCTCTACTAAAACTACAAAAAAAAATCAGCTGGGCATGGTGGCGCATGCCTGTAATCCCAGCTACTCAGGAGGCTGAGGCAGGAGAATTGCCTGAACCCAGGAGGCGGAGGTTGCGGTGAGCCGAGATGGTGCCATTGCACTCCAGCCTGGGCAACAAGAGCGAAACTCCGTCTCAAAAAAAAAAAAAAAAAAAAAAAGAGTGTAGGCGATCCCCAAAGCAATGGGTCTGAAAATTAAATTCAGGGGTAGGAGCTACTTTTGGAATAAACTATAGAGACAGAGCAAAAGTTCAGAAAATATTGTATGTAGGCATTTCCACTGGAGCCTGAGAGAGACCACAGGGGCTATGACTCCTTGGACTGGATGTCCCCAGCCACATACTAACAGCCCTTGGCCCACACTTGCCTTCATCCGCTGTGAAGAATATCGGCCAAAAATATTTTTCGTGGAGGCCTCTGTGCCTTTGAGAAGGTCCACGATTCTTAGGCAGTGAAAGTAGTGAATGTCTGGAAAGCAAGAGACAGGACTTTGAGAGCCCAATATCTTCCTCACCTACTCTGGCCACTGCTGGTAGTTGATTCATGTGTAATATACTGCCAGTAACTTTAGTGTATAGCTTTTCCTTTCATAATTTCATGGTGGAAGAAGCCAGCAACTATACCTCAAATAAAAATTGTTCTCTCTCTAAAGGCCAGCCCGGCTAAATAACAAGGGAGTAGCTCAGCTGATACATACTACGTCAGCAAAGACGGGACTTCGGTGATAGTCCCTAAGCACTCACAGGACCCAGACAGCAGCTGGGCGATCTCTTCACTCTCTGGCATGTCCTGGATGGCAGCATTGATCTTCTCTCGGATCGTCAGCACCAGACTCTGCCATTTCAGGCTGCAGTGTCTTCTGTCCACCAGCCAATCTGCACAAGAAGCACCCACATTAAAGCATTCCCATTCACATCACCAAAATTCCATCACTAATTCAAGTGAAATACACAGTCTAAAAGTTGTCTTTATATTGGTTAAAGTATGGAGGTCATGGGAAGATGGGAATAAAGACAAGCACAAAGAGATGACGGGGGCTAAACAGGCTCTGACAATCTGACTTCATTAGCAATGTGATTTTTATGGAGCAATTGCCTCAACACAGGGATAACAAAAACTTCAAATTGGTCTTGACATGAAAGTGCCACTTTTGACCATTCTGAATTCCCCATAATATTTTTGCTTCTATGCGTAATTATATCTTTCTTCCTGACAGAGGATGCTGCTCAACTTCCACTTCCTCAGGGCTGGGATTAGCCGTGACAATGGAAAATACAAGATGGTTATGCCAAGTACCGGATGAATGAACAGCTGCAAAGCCCCTAATACCTACAGTGCCCTAAGGACTAGATAACCTGACTCTATTCTGAACAGTGAAGTACCACCCTGTACACCTGAATACCAATGGGACCACCTCTCAAAGTCTGGGCCCAGATTTGTGGCTTCAGAGCCATGCATATTTCCTCAGTGAGGGCCAAGAGCTGAGCTTTGTGGTCAGATGGTCCTGGGTTCTCATTATCGAGTTTTTGAGCAAGTCTTTCTAATATTCTGTGCTTCAGTTTCCCTACACGTAAATTGGGGAATAATAAGACACTGACCAGAAACGGGAATGCAAGTAAAACACTGAACAGTGTGCCTAGCACATGGCAAGGACTCAAAAAAATCATAGTGCTATTTTAGGCCAGGCGCGGTGGCTCATGCCTGTAATCCCAGCACTTTGGGAGGCCGAGGCAGGCAGATCATGAGGTCAAGAGATCAAGACCATCCTGGCTAACATGGTGAAACCCCATCTCTAAAAATTAAATAAATAAATAAATAAAATCATAGTGATTTTAATAATGTCAAGTGCCTAAAACAGCACCTGGCACAAAACAAACCCTCAATGAATGGCTGTCATTTTATTGGTCCTTTTTCATGACCAAGAACAAGCTCACACACCAAGACTGCATACAGGCTGAAGGGCTGGTACAAATCTGGAGCCTAAAGAAACTCCCCTAGTGGCTACTAAGCAGGACTGACTAAATGGCCCTAGAGTGGTGAATACGTAACCTAAACTCCCCCAACCGGTCAAACGCTGAGGTCTCACATTAGTATCAGTTATACTTCCTCTGCTGTAGTCCTGTAAGTTTTCATAAAGAAAAATTCTGTTGATGTCACAGAACTAGAAGCAATGGACTGGGGTAGTCAAACAGACACCATCTTAAGGACAAGACTGGCATCAAATCCATTAATCCAATAAGCATTTTAAAATGCCAGGAGCTGGCCGGGCGCGGTGGCTCAAGCCTGTAATCCCAGCACTTTGGGAGGCCGAGGCGGGTGGATCACGAGGTCAAGAGATTGAGACTATCCTGGTCAACATGGTGAAACCCCGTCTCTACTAAAAATACAAAAAAAAAAAAATTGGCTGGGCATGGTGGCGCGTGCCTGTAATCCCAGCTACCCAGGAGGCTGAGGCAGGAGAATTGCCTGAACCCAGGAGACGGAGGTTGCGGTGAGCCGAGATCGCGCCATTGTACTCCAGCCTGGGTAACAAGAGCGAAATTCCGTCTCAAAAAAAAAAAATAAATAAAATGCCAGGAGCTGTGTGATCACATGAAGAGGGCTTCCTTGAATCTGAACTGGGAAGGGGGTATGTATTCAGGCCCCACACAGACAACCTGGAGATAGCCTGGACACTAAAAGGTCTTTATTTCCAACTGGGTCTTAGGCCCCTCTTCCTCCTAAAATCAAGGGGGACATGGAAGCTTTTTATTATTATTTATTTAGTTTTGAGACGGAGTGTTGCTCTGTCACCCAGACTGAAGTGCAATGGCGCGATCTTGGCTCACTGCAACCTCGGCCTCCCGGGTTCCAGCACTTCTCTGCCTCAGCCTCCTGAGTAGCTGGGATTACAGGTGCCTGCCACCACACCCGGCTAATTTTTGTATTTTTAGTAGAGACAGGGTTTCATCGTCTTGGCCAGGCTGGTCTTGAACTCCTGACCTCATGATCCACCCGCCTTAGCCTCCCAAAGTGCTAGGATTACAGGTATAAGCCACCAGGTCGGGCCGGAAGCTTTTTAAATGTTTTTTTTTTTTTTTTTTTTTCTGGCATAATGCAAACAGAATGGACAGTGGGTCAGACAGACTTAAGTTCCAATTGAGATGTGCCACTCACTTAGTAATTGACTGTTTTTTTGTTTTTTATTGAGACGGAGTCTGGCTCTGTCACCAGGCTGGAGTGCAGTAGTGCGATGTCGGCTCACTGCAACCTCCGCCGGGTTCAAGCGATTCTCCTGCCTTAGCCTCCCGAGTAGCTGGGACTACAGGCGCGTGCCACCACAAAAAAAAAAATTAGCCCAGCTAATTTTTCTATTTTTAGTAGAGACGGGGTTTCACCATGTTGGCCAGGATGGTCTCGATCTCTTGACCTTGTGATCCGCCCGCCTCGGCCTCCCAAAGTGCTGGGATTACAGGTGTGAGCCACCGCACCCGGCCTAGCTGACTGTTTTTAAAGCGAGTCACTTATCCTGTCCCTGAATGGTACGATTTGATAACACATTAAAGGAGAATACGCAGCTCAAACAGACTCCACAGACGGTTGCTTCCCGCTGCTCTCAGGGAAGCAGTTCTGGCCTCAGATGTGGCGTAGAACAAGGCCAGTGGTCAGCACCTCAACCCGGGCTTTCAGGGTCAGAGGCCCCGGGCATTGGACACAGGGGGCAACGAACAGGCCTCCCCCCGACAGCCAGCTGCGCGGGGGCGCCCCTCCTACCGAGCAGCTTGCTGGTCTGGATGTCGATGGGCACATGCTGATGCTCCTGACGGGAAGACGGGAGGAGAGGGGCGTGAGCGCGGGAAGGGGACTTGCCACTCGCGCGTTCACTTCACGGTCCCAACCACCACCCTGAGGGGCCAGAGCGATGGGCCGGGTTGAGCCGCGCCCGGAGGGAGACCGGGGACACAGGTTAGGGGTCCGGTGCCAGTTCCCCGCACACCCAGCTCCTGTCCCCACACCTCCATCTTTCCTCCACTTCCGCTTCAGGCCGCAGACTCTGGCCCGCCCCGCCTTACCACCAATCCAGTGGAGTTGTGGCGGAGCCTCAGTTTAGACATAGATCGGCCTCCTTCGGCCACGTAGCCGCCTTCCGTACAGCCAATCAGGGCTTACGCTCCACTCCGGCCTCAAGCCCCACCCACCCCGAGGCTCCGAATGGCTGAGCTCGGGAGGGGCGGGAGAATGGGGACAGCCAATGGGAGACGCGAGGCGGGCTCAGGGCCGGGAGCGGGAGCGAGTGCGCTGCAGCGGCAGTGCAATGGCGACAGGCGGCGCCCGAGAGCCCAGCTTGACAGTTGCTTCCCCTCAGGCACCGGGTCTTCTCCGAGCGGATTAAGGTGTCTGCGGGCGGGGTCCTAGCGCCGATCTGGGATGCCGCTGCAAATGCCTTCCCTCCTTGCATCTCTTTACCATCTAGAGCAGCGTGTAGTCTCTTGTGGCACTTGTCATGCTTTGCCTTCTCATTCAGTTTATCTAACAGGCATGATTGAGCGCACGCAACGTGTTGGGCGATTAGGGCAGGGAAGGGTAGGGAGGTGGGTAGGGGAGACGCCCCAAAGGTAACACTTACATCGAGTCTAAAGGAAGAGCTGAAGACAGCCGGGTGACGTGGAGAGAGGAGATTTAGGTGGAGGAGACTGCACAGACAAAACTTAGGTGGCCACAGACTGCAAGAGGGGTGCAGGCAACAACAGGCAGGCAGGACAGGCAACATAATTTGTGAGGTTTAGTGCAAAATGGAAATGCACGCCCCCTTGTTACAAAATGATGAAGAATTTCAAGATAAAGCCGCTTCCCGGGCAGGCCAACCTTTGTGCAGTAGATGGTTTGAGGCAGCGAGTAGCTGTAAAGGTGGAAAAGTCGTATCAAAGGGAGGCTCATTAAGGAACTTGGACTTCATCCCTGCAGACAGAGGAATCGCAGAAGGGGTTTGAGGCAGGGAGGAACCTGTACAGATGGGCTGCTGGGATGATGGATGCATGGGAGATAAGACTGGGGACAGGGAGGTTGGAAGGAGGTTGCTATTGAGGGATTACAGTCTGTGCTGGGACACAAGGTGTGGGGAGGAAGGGGGAGGGCTGGATCTGAGGAATATTTAGGAGGAAAATGGATAGGACTTGGCAATTGATTAGCTGTTTGGGTGGAAAAGAGAAACACCAAGGATGACACCTAGGTGACTGGGTGGGAGCTACCACCTGAGACAAATCTGATGCAGGATGCTGAGCTGGTGTTGGGGAGGAGGGGGTCTAGCTTTGAACCTGGTCTGGCAATGCTGGGAAACCCTCAGATGGAAAGTGTGCAGAAGGCACTTGGGTCTATAATTTTGGAGTTCAGGGGAGTTGTCGGGCCTGGAGATACAGCTTGGAGAGTCACAAGATGGCTAATCTGTGGCCCAAGCAGTGGCTGAAGCTAAGGGAGGGTTTGAGATTGCCCAAGAAGTGGGTAGAGTAAGGAGGGAGGGTGGGCTGAAGCCAGATTCCACAGGATCTCACAGAGCTGGGTATGCCACTTCTAAATATTCCTTACCCAGCTCCTGCTCACCACAGCACAACACTTGAGGCTCAGTAGATTTTCAATTGAAAGGCATAGTGTGATACAGCAGTGGGAAGACCTAGATTCTGCCCAGTGAGGTCCTAGACCATTTCTACAACCTGTCTGATAGCCATAGTTTCTCAACATGGAGATAACAGCTACCCTGTCTCAGGATATTTCTGTTTAGAGGCTTTAATAAATAAACATACTAGTAACTCTTGACGGTTTACAACATACTGTAGATATATTTGTTTTGTATCATGCTTTGTAAACTCTCCCTATATGAAATAGGATATATGGGCCGGGCGTGTTGGCTTACACCTATAATCCCAGCACTTTGGGATGCTGAGGCAGGTGGATCACCTGAGGTCAGGAATTCGAGACCAGCCTGACCAACATGGCAAAACCCCATCTGTATAAAAAAAAAAAAAAAAAACCCACACATACACAAGTTATCCCAGCGTGGTGGTGCATGCTTGCAGTCCAGCTACTCGGCTACTCATTCGGGAGGCTGAGGCAGAAGAATCACTTGAACCTGGGAGATGGAGGTTGCAGTGAGCCTAGATGGCGCCACTGCACTCCAGCCTGGGCAACAGAGTGAGACTCTGTCTCAAAACAAAACAAAACAAAACAAAACAAAAAAGGAAAGAAAAGAAATATCGTATATGATCATTAGCATTATAGAATGAATTTAAAAACTGCTCTGAAGACAGCTTATAGGGCACAACTAAGGGCCTTTTCAGGGATCTTTCATGGGAATTTGGCTACCATTTGAATCAGCCTGACTCAGGCTGTAGGAATTGCTTAGGTTCCTCCATGATTAAATAAACACTTAACTGGGCCCCAACTATGTGCTCGGGGTTCTCTGGGACATCCCAAAAAGCAAGGCATTGCCTTGCCCTCAAGGTGTATCTGTCTGTCTTCCTTGAACTAACAGGCTGGGCAGAACAGGACAGGGTGGGTCTGGACGACCCAGCCCAGATGAGTTGATGGAAGCAGGGACCACCAGAACTTCAGCCCCACCCACAGCTCCTCAAGGTGACTCACATGGAGCAGAAGGATGTTGGAGAACATTTCTGCCCAGCTGCTGACTCCAGGGAGGCTGCCCCAAAGCCAGAGGCTCTGGGAGAGAAACTGCCTCTGCTGACTCCAGAGGCTTTGGGGGAGAACCTGTCAAAGGCCCATGCTTCTGTGCTCCCAAAGAGTGTAGGAGCATGGGCCTTTGGTGGGTTTCGGCACTTTTCCAAGGCCACAGGGAACTTCATGGGCTGTGGGCAGATAAGCACATAATTGGTCTGGCATCCAGGGCATCAATTCTGTCTGCTTCAGGAGACTTTAGTGGTCGGGGCTTCCAGCAGCTGGAAGGAGGTAGAGAGAGGATATGGGAGGTTTTTGACCATGAGTCTCTCAGTTCTCTGCTGACTTAGCAGATGGGACTCTGGCAGAGGGGCAGCACATGTAGAGAGGGGAGGGAGGATATATCAGGGCTGTGCCAGCTTTGGACAGGGAAGCACAGAGCCCTGAGGCACTGTGTAGGCAGCCTACCTTGCCATCATTATTGTTGTTGTTAGCTTGCTTATTAAATGATAACCATGTCCACGTGCCAGTGTAGATGTAAATGTTTTATAAGCCTTATCTAATTTGATTCTATCACCATTAGCCAGATTTTTAAAGGCAAGGAAGCCAAAGCTTAATTAAGTAATGTGTTGAACGCCGGGCGCGGTGGCTCAAGCCTGTAATCCCAGCACTTTGGGAGGCCGAGGCGGGTGGATCACGAGGTCAAGAGATCGAGACCATCCTGGTCAACATGGTGAAACCCCGTCTCTACTA